GAGCGGGCCGGGCCGCGCGGCCATGGCGCCGGGCAGGGCTCAGCGGGCGCGCATCCGCTCACGGCCAGGCCGGGCCCGAGAGCGGTCCGAGCCAACTTCCCCAAATGTCTTCCCGCGCTGCACCTGCCCCGTCTGCGAGCCGTGCGGCTGCTCTGTCTGTCCCCACTGTGCCCGCCGGGCCGGCTGCTGAGGACACCCGGCTTAGCGGGCCGGGCGGCGGGCGCAGCTCCCGCGGGGTCTCAGACGGCTGGGAGTCCGAGAGCGGCCGGCTCGGCCAAGCTACCGTCTGTGGCGTCCGCGCCTCGGGTCCCGCGCGTCGTCAGCTCCCGCCACCTCCCGGAGCAGGACCAATAGGGGCGAGGGGGCGGGGCGAGGGGGCGGGGCGAGGCCCGCGGAACCCACGCCCCCGGGATTCCCTAGACGCCGGGCGAGTGAGTGAGGGGTGGCGGGTCTAGGCGTCCGGGGCTCAGGCGTCGGGCTTCAAGCCGGGACCTCGCCCGGATCCAGAGTAGCTCAACCGTCGGGAGAAACCAGCAAAGCGCTGGCACTCCCGCGGGACGTGGCCTTCGGCGACCTCCTTAGATCCGGGTTCCGGAGTCTCGGGAACGCCAGCAGTGTGAGCCGGCGGTCCCGCCTTGTTCGCCTGCTGTGGCTTCAGGCCCTGAAATGTGGCCCCATTTGGTTCTGGAGAGACACCTCCCCAGAGGCTCAGTGGGCTGCGCCCCTGGGGCGTCTCCCTCCGTCTCCTCCCAGTCGGCACCCCCGGCGCACCCCAGCTCCCACGAGCTACCCCTAGACCCGACACTGTTAGTCGGCTCTGCGCTCCCGCAGACCCTGGCGCTGGCCCAGAGTCCGCGGGAGATGCTTACCTGCTTCCCGCCTGCGGCGGCCGAGCCCAAGAGTTCTGCTACTTCACTTGCCCTGGTGTCCAGCGGCTGTCAAGGAAAGTCCTCAAGGAAACGCCTGGACAGACTCAGTCCGTGGCCCTCTTTCCCCCACCCCCCCGCCCGTCTGCTCTAGGAGCGCTCTCCTATTTCCTTTATAGATAGTCCGGGACTAGCAACTGAATAACAAATTGACAAACCCCACACTAGGGCCATCTGCTTGGAGTTGTTTTTTTTTTCTTTTCTTTTCTGTACGTCTTATCATTAGTAATATGTTCACCACCTAACAACAATATCAACATTATTCGATCTCCGGCGTCATTTCTATGATCAAGCCCATATTTTCTAACTTCTTTATTTCCAATTTCTCAATCCCAGTAGCCAATAATAATCATCGTGGTTGCATGCTTGACCAATTTCAGACTGCAGAGGTTTTTTTTTTTTTTTTTAATTCTTCAGTTTGTTCATCTTAGTGGTTGATGCGCAAATTTGAATAATAGTTGTATTAGTTGATCTTCGTTGTAGAAATGTGGATATTACCCTTATCACTGCCCTGGATCCTGGTGTGGTGCTGCAGGATAAGCGCATAACTGCAGGGTTGGTTTAAACCTTAGGGTCGGTGGTTCAAAACCACCAGCAGCTCCTCGGAAATCCTATACAAGTTGTTATGAATCAGAACTGACTCCACGGCACTTAACAACAACAAATACTGGTGCACCAATCATCTATCAATTTGTCTTACTATAGTGACTTTCATGTTTCTGTGATGCTAGAATCTATGACACTGGTATTTCAAATACCAGCGGGGTCACCCATGATGGACAGATTTCAGCAGAGCTTCCAGACAAACACAGACTCAGAAAGACCTGGCAATCTACTTCGTATTTTGTTGTTGTTGTTTTACTTTTTATTGTGGTTTGAGTGAAGATGTACAGATAAGATAATCAGTTTTACATTCTGAAAATCATACATTTAGTTTCATCTCAATGAATGCAATCCCCTTCATGCAACAACAGTTATCCCACTTCCTCCCTGTGGATCCTACTTCCATTCCACCCTCCTTCCCATCACTTCTCAACTTTGTCCTTAGGTGGATGTTACCCACTTGATTTTGAATGATTGACCATCCCATGGTGAGTATATTTTACAAGTGTTGTTGTCCCTTCTATAGCCATCTACTATTTGCCTAAAAATTGGGCCACAAGGGTGAGTTCCTTTACAGACCTGAAGGTAGTCCAGGGTCATCATCTCAGGTTCCTCCAATGTCTTTCCTACCAGTAAACCCAGTCTTTTTTTAAAATATAATTTTCAGTTTTGCTTTACATTTTTTCCCCAATCTGCCACTCTTTTAATGTGACATTGTAAATCAGCACTGGACTGTGACCCACAAGATAAGCAGTGGAAACCCACCAGCTGCTCCTTGGAAACCCTATTCAGGGTTACTATGAGTCAGAACTGACTCACAGCACTTACCAACAACAATCAAGGGACTTTCTAAAGTGATCCTTTACTGAGCAGTTGGTAGTGGTAAGCCGGGCATCATCTAGTTCTTCTGGTCTCAGAGTCATGGAAACTGATGTTCACATATGTTCCATTAGTCCATTGGACTAATTGATTCCAAGCATCTGCAAGTCTCATCACTCTTCTTACTTCCGTATATGGAGAGACCAATAGTTGCACCTTAGACAACTACTCATGAGGTTTTTCTTGTTTCTGAGTTTTGTTGTTGTTGTTGTTTTTTAGTTTTTATTGTAAATTGAGTGATAGTTTACATGGGAGAACATCAGTTTTACACTCATCCTATCATATTTCGCTTCATTGCACTGATTACAATCCCTTCCATACATCATCATTCAACAGTATTTGCTTCTATTCCCTCTGTGGGTTTTTTGTTGGTTTTTTAATTTTTTAATTTTTTT